CCCAACTGCCGCCTCTAAAGAATTTAGAGAAAATACCAATATGTATGCTAAAATGGTAAAGCGACTTACATAATGATAGATAAATCGATTATCCGAAATAACAGTTCATACAGACTGTATATAGTACAAATGTGTCCTTCAAATTGGTTGTTATTCCACAGACAGCAATAGTAACCACGACATGCCTTTTTAAGGGCAGAATGGAATATGAGCTTAGGTAAAGTTTCCAACATAAAGAAGCTCAAATTAAATATTATTTTACGTTTAAATAGTCGAATGGATCTAGACAATTTCTTCATATTTAATAAATTCTAATCTAGCGAATTTAATGATACACATGGCGAAATTTGAAACGAATTAATTACACTTTAAATTAAGTGCTAAACAGAGTGAAACGTGTGAGTAAGACCTAACGGCGAGCTCCTATCTAGAGGCCCTAGCAGTTCCATTATAGATTATTATAACTAAAGCAATTAACCAAGTAACAAAATGGATGTTAGTTAAAAATGTAGGCAAAGTTTCATCAATATTGGAGTGGGGAGACGGCATTTATTATATGACATACCAGAACGTCCCTGCCACAGTTTCTCAACCTGTATGCATATATATATATATATATATATATATATATATATATATATATATATATATATATATATATATATTTGGTTGGATAGATTAGCTCTATCTCTGATATTGAGCGCTTTCTAATAAGTTATGCGTATATAATATATAAATAATTATACACATATATATTTATTTATATTTATATACACCTTTCACAAAAACACACACACACACAACACACACACATATATATATATATATATATATATATATATATATATATATATATATATATATATATCTTTTCTTCTTCTTCTTCTTCACACCTCCTCTCCCTTTTCTATTGCACCCAACCTCGTACGTTTTTTTATTTATTCTGGAAATAATAATGTACCGTTCTTTTTTTTTTTTTTAAATAAGCGTTAAGAGGTCAATTGATAAAAATCGCCTGAGGATGCCGTAAGGTTGAAACCAAGTTAGCAGATTCAACTGACCTCCTGATTTTTAAAGTTTTACATATTTAATTTTAAGTTTATTTTATTTTTTCACGCGTGTATTGGGCACTTTTTAATACTATTGTTTCCTGATCTAATTAAACACTGACCATTAATCCTTTATATATATATATATATATATATATATATATATATATATATATATATATTTGAATATCGCATAAAATGAAAGGTTTAAAAACAATTATGAAATATTTGATTTCAATCGTGTTTAGAATTAATCAGGTTCTTATTCCAAGGACAACGCAAACAACAATTATAAGTACAATATGTCTTTTTAGGGGGAGGTCGAAATAAATTTGAACCTGTCGAATTTATTGATGTACATGAAGAAATTTGAAAAGAAGAAAACCTAAAGTAGTGTAATTATATTTATTTTTGAAGAAATCGCTTCAAATTATATTTATAAAAAAATTATTTATAAAATAACCTGCGATTCATTATTTCATTATACGTGTATCTTAATTTTTTTTAATGTCTGTGACATCAATTATCTCCCTTGCTTTAACAGCGTGAAAAGCATTTAAAAGGCGTTTCGCGTAGGACCTGACAGTGAGCTACGATCTAGGGGTCTTAGCGATCCCATTATAGATTTTTACATAAAAAAATTAGCCTAGTAAGAAACTGGATATCAGTTTAATAATTATACAACGTATCATCAATATTAGTTCTCGGATTTATGCAACAAGTTGATTCAGACAAACATAAATTGACAAAAATATATATATATATATATATATATATATATATATATATATATATATATATTTGGTTAGATTGATGTTAGTTTGTGACCCTGGATTTCACACTTTTGCGATCGTCAGACAAACTGATTAATTTTTTAAAAAATTTGGGTTTATGTAGATTGCGTGTATTGCTGTTATTATGGGAGTTGGGGGAATCGTCGTCGTGATGTCATCGTGCTGACGCAAACATAGATGCATGTCCGTACACCCAATGAGGTACTCAGACACACATACACACCGCCGGCACTCATACATATATAAACATATGTGGAAATTTTTGGATTTGACATATGTATGTATATGGGTGGTGTTGTGTCTATACATACGCATTTGTATACTGAAATTCAAAGATTGGAAGTGTAGCAAATAATTTCCGTGAATGTCTCGTGAATGTATACATGTCAGCAATGAAAGCATTTTTCTATTTTTTCGCTGAATAATATTTCCTCGCATGCACGTATATACATGCGGTAGTGTCTGTGTAAAATTATGATAGGTAAAAATTACTATTATTTTTATTTTTAATTTTTAAAAAAGTTTATTTGTTATTATTTTAAAGCTGGTTATTTGCTTGTTTTTGATGACTGTGTATATGTAACTGGTAGAAATTTCGATTTGTAATCCTTATTGGTTATTTTTTATGGTGGTATTAAATATGTTAGCTCTATCTCTGATATTGAGCGCTTTCTAATAAGTACCGCGCATATGATATATAAATAATTCTCTCTCTCCCCCACTCTCTCTCTCTCTCTCTCTCTATATATATATATATATATATATATATATATATATATATATATATATATATATATATATATATTTCACATATATATATATATATATATATATATATATATATATACATGTATAGGATTGGTGCATACGGAATAAATTCCAATAACCAACAATTACTATTCTTAAAGAGTGTTCAATACAGAGTAGAGCAAATATAATTATTTATTTAAAAATTATAACATAAATATGTTATAAAATCACTACAAAAATAGCCATTTTGTTTCAACACCTCTGGTGTCTTATCAAGTGATGATGTTGAATGTAGAATAAAGGGTTTTAAATGGTTCAAATTAATTAATCACCCCTCGCGAGGGGAAACATATATATATAGAGAGAGAGAGAAAGAGAGAGAGAGAGAGAGAGAGAGATGTGGGCACTTCGAGTTGGTTTAATGGTTAGCAAGCATGTTTCGCTAGAGTCATTAAGGCTTAGTAAAGTATCCTCACTGGGTGCTCCTCACTTTCGGCCTTATGCCACATAATCATCTTGGGCACTTCGAGCCGGTGCATTGTTTAGCAAACTTGTCTCACCAGAACAGTAGTGAGTTCGATACTCAATGGGTGCCCCATACTTTAGGCCTTGTACCATATCTAAGCTACGCTGAGAAAATCAATATACAGAGTGTTAAAAAAAAATTGACTTTAATTCGAAGGAAAATAATATTGACAATTCTCGTTGATATAACCTTAAATTTTCACAGAATGTATGCAAGCAGATCAAGATTTTATATTTAATGTTTTAAATTTGTTCTGTTTTCAAGTTGATCCATGACATTCCTTCCCAAAGAAAACTCATTTTGCGTCTTGGAATATGTTCGCACACAATCACCCAAGACTGCGCTGCGTGCCTTCAATGACAAATTTGGAAAACCTTCACCAACTGGCAAACAAATTTGGACTTGGTACCAAAAATTTAAAGAGGAAGGCTGCTTATGCATGGCTAATGGATCTGGTAGATCAACATCATCAACATCAGTGTGCTTGGCAAGAGCTTAACTATCGATTTGACATGTGCCGTGTCACAGGCCGTGTATATATGGAATGCTTATGAAATCGGTCCCATAATAAACTTATTATGTTCAACAATTAAACTGTTCAATTTTGTTGAGCTAGACTAAGTAGTTTTCAAGATAATTGCTTTTAAAATGATCTCAAATTTTTGGGACGCTCTGTATACATACATGAATATATATATATATATATATATATATATATATATATATATATATATATATATATATATATATATATATATATAAGCAAGTGTAAATGGATATAAATCCGACAGAATGAAGAAATTTTGAAAAAACAAACAAAAATCCTTAAATGTAGTTAAAATGAAAGAAAAAAAAATTTTTTCACTTTAACTACATTTAAGGATTTTTGTTTGTTTTTTCAAAATTTCTTCATATATATATATATATATATATATATATATATATATGTTTTCGTTTACTTGTTTGTATATAAGTGCTTTTATTGATTTATTATAGGGGCTTGTTGTGTTTAGATAAGCTTTGTAAATCCTTATTTGGTGGGTGTGTTCTTGTAGAAGGCTGTATCAGTTAAACACAAGCAGCTATTAGATTCCGAAGAAAATACGGGGAGGCTAATGGAGTATATGGATGTAGAATTGAAGAATAAGTTGTATATTTTGAATAAAAGGAAGGAGAAAAATGATGAAGTGGAACGAGAAGGAATTTCATTTGATGGAAGTGTTGGGGGAAGAGGAGAAGAAAGATTACTGAGAGAGAGGGTGATATAAAGTGGGAGGAATAGGTTTCTCTAGAAGCAAGAAGGGGAAAGAGAAGAAAAGAAAAGAGGGAAAGAAACATGACCGTTCAAAAGAAGAAGAAGAAGAAGAAGAAGAAGAAGAAGAAGAAGAAGAAGATTTGTTTCTTTATCGTCTCAAAATGATTTTAGAAGTTCAAGATGGAAAGTTCAGAACTAGGGCGAGATGAAATATCATGAGTTGAAATGAAAAAGAGGAGAGTGATGCGGAGAGGGATTGTTAAATTGCTAGAGAGAGGGAGAAACATAGGGAGAGATAGAGAGAAGGATGGAAAGAGAGATGGAAAAGAAACAATTGTGAGAATATAATATTGTCTACATATTAACACGAACGTTTGGACACACAAGCGTAAGAAGAAGAAAAAGGAGAAGAAATAGAGGGTAATAATAATAATAATAATAATAATAATAATAATAATAATAATAATAGAAGAAGAAGAAGAAATAGAGGGTAAAATTAATAATAATAATAATAAAAATAATAGATGAAGAAGAAGAAAGAGATGGTAATAATAATAATGATAATTAGAAGAAGAAGAAGAAGAAGAAGAAGAAGAAGAAAGAGATGGTAATAATAATAATGATAATTAGAAGAAGAAGAAGAAGAAGAAGAAGAAGAAGAAGAAGAAAGAGATGGTAATAATAATAATGATAATTAGAAGAAGAAGAAGAAGAAGAAGAAGATAAAGTTTCTTAAGAGGAAAAGAATCAAACGAAACAAAGACGTAATTGAAGAAGTTGGATGAAAAACGACAGCAAAAAAGAAAAAAGAAAAAAATACGAGAGAAGAAATACGACGGAGAAAGATTGGGAAAGAGAATAATGAATTTGATACTTGAGAAAAGGAAGACGAAAGACATGGAAAGAAAGTTCACTGAGATTGCTACAAATAATAAGTATAGAAAAAGAAAGATGGCGCTTCTGTATTAGAAGTAGACGATGAAGGAGAGGAGAAGGCAGAAGAATCTAAAGTATATGAAGAAGTGATGCATGTAAAGATGGTGATGATGATGGCAATGGTGATCGTGAGCATAGTGATAATAATGATGATGATGTTGATGGAAGAAAAAGTGATGTAAAGTAAGCCAATAAAGAAAATCGTGAAGAAGAAGAGGCAGAACGAGTAAAAGAAAAGGAACAGGTTGATTTGTAAGAGTGATATTGAAAACGAAGACCCTTGAAGAAGAAGAAGAAGAAGAAGAAGAAGAAGAAGAAGAAGAAGAAGAAGAAGAAGATCACCTCTTTCGGCGGACTTGGCATGTGGGTGTGTCTTAATCCAGTTACTATTGCAAATGTTGTAATCCAACGAAAACTCTGAAGAGATAACGTGCGACTGGAAGCAACTTTGGACAATCAGGCCATTCACTACACGACCACCAACACTGATCATAAACAGAGGTCCGGTCCTGCCGGGAGGCCGCGTTAACGTCAAGGGCTGATAATATTGATTAGAATTTCATGGACACTAGCCAGCTTATTAACGTGGCTGAAATGGGCAAAATGCAGGTGTTGGGCATGTACATGGCTCTTGCCTCCAGGTACTTCAGCATACATTTTCATATATATATATATATATATATATATATATATATATATATATATATATAGAGAGAGAGAGAGAGAGAGAGAGAGAGGAAGAGAGACGGGAGAAGAACGGTGGAATAATGGATAGTGGTTCGGATTGAGAAATCGGAGAGCCGAGTTCGAATTCGACTAATAATACCGTGGAAAAGGGTATGAATCCCCTTCTTCTCCCCCATCATGGGTAAATAGCAGGACAGGTTGGGTTCTATAGCCTGGGATGGAAACTAGTCTAGGAGAAGGAAAAACTCTAAATTCAAAACCTGCGGAGAGTCGTTTGGGGACCTTGAGTCACGTATTGCACCAGGTGTCTATATTCGGCTCTTCATAAAGTGTGATTCTGCACAAAGCCTTCACCACTATAACTGTGTCTGGCTGTCGGCTCCAAGGAAATCAGTTGCTTGACCTTCATACGCAGAAAAAAAAAGAGTCCGGCATATATATATATATATATATATATATATATATATATATATATATATATATATATATATATATATATATATTTTAAGAAAAACTAGGTAATCCGTATGGGTAAACCTAAGGAGGATAAAATCCAGAGAAGTAAAGTCTGTTTATAAGTAAAGTCTGATGATCCGCAGTCCTTTAAAAGGGCTGTGGTGAAATAATTACATGGTACTTTTTAAAGTGGCCTGTTTTTATTTAAATTTATATATATATATATATATATATATATATATATATATATATATATATATATATATATATATATATATTGGGTGATAGGTGATAGACAGAGGGAGAGGGAGAAAGAGAGAGAGTAACATAAAATACCTGCACGGAAGGTATATTTCGGAATATAATGTTAAACCTATATCAAACAAATATGCATTTACATATTTTCTGTAATCTATATACAAATGAGTGCCCACATACACATACACACACATATATGTGTGCGCTTGTGTTTGTTTGTGTGTAAGTAAAATTTCGGATAGTGTATGTCTGTAAAAGGAGCATATGAAGAAACACCAGCGGAAAACATATCTTGGACGACGCGGTTCGTCCTTTGATGGACATTATCAAGGTAAACGCAAGGATTTTATTTTGTAACAAGTATTATATTGATACTTGTAAAACGAGTAAAAATGTCATTGGTTTATCGAAATCTTTAAATCCAAGAACGCCGAGGAATACTTATGAGCGTTCTTGCATTTAAAATATTTCAAAAACCGATAACATTTTTGTTCTTGTCTATAAATCCTTGTTACAAAATAAAATCAATGCATTTGATTTGATAAAGTCACTCGGAGGACAAAACGCGACGGTTAAGATGAGTTTCCGTTGATGGAAGCATACCTGGATTTTCCTTTTTGATATAGCGGTCAGCTGCCTCGTTTCATTCTCTTGGATCTCCGCGTCGTCATGTAATCATGAGATTTGAATTTTTGAAGAGGAAAACGACGCAAGGGGCGAGATCTGGATAATATAGGGGTTGTCTTGTCGGACACGGGTTATATGTGCTTGACCAGCTGTACTAGCCAGGTACAATGACTAACCTCTGTGATGGACTGTGACAACCACACTCTACACCTCTTACAAGTACTCCTATAAACGAGGGAAGTTATATATATTATAATTCAATGTGTATGCGTTCAAAGGTCACTCTGTATAAGCGGGTCTACTCTCTCATAATTTTGCTTTGTTAACATCGTAACAGTCGGAATAATGTATATATACATATATGGTTACATATACCGGTTCCAAATATAAAATGATAAAATGAAAATCTAGTACTGCGTTGAAATTCTTAAAGTCGAGGTACAAAGATGAAATCACATTAGAACAATCACCATGAATTAATATATATATATATATATATATATATATATATATATATATATATATATATATATCACCATATTAATTATATCTTATAATTGTCCCCGTTCAAAGAACTCTCTTTCTTTTATTACTTACGCCTCTTTATCTATATTTTTTTAATTTTTTTTTACGTTTTTTAAATATAATTTTGTATGGCTTTTTTTTTTTTTTTTTTTTTTAAATATAACTTGATTTTAAATAGATCTCTCACACCCGCCATATTATGGTATTTAAGGTTATGCCGTGTATTACTATTGATACGCTCTGTTATAATAAATACATTGAACTCGTTTTGTGGGGCAGTTTGATATTACTAGGATCCCCAGATTATATACTAATTTGAATATGAATATATATATATATATATATATATATATATATATATATATATATATATATATATAATATGTATCAAAAATACTTTTTACAAACTTTGGGGTGGTCTTCTCATACCAAAGCAAGGAGAAAAGTTCATATAAATATATTTCTGCATATACTTCATTTTTTGAGTGATTAAGTTTAAAGAAAGTTTAGCTAGATAGCGCTGTGTTGCCATATGGACTAGATTACATTTGTTATTCTTGTACATTTGTGGTTAGAATGTCTTCAACGTTTAGCGTGTGTAGTAGTGAGTTAATTGGGAAGTGTTCCGTTTAACAATGGCAGGATATTCATATCTTGAGCAGGCAGATATGATTTTTATATAAGGCTGCTGGGATGGTAATAGATGCGGGCTGCACCGTTGGAGAAGATTGTGTTTCCAGACCGAAGGCAGCAAAGTAATCCAAACTATGCTGCAGTTAAATCGTCACATTCCTGAGACAGGATCGTTGATACGACAAACTATAGATCGAGGAAGACCGATTGCAAATTCAGCAGCATTTATTGAAAACTTTAAACATAATAAATCCAAAACGAAGGATTTTCGGTCCTATGTTTATGTGGACTTGCTCATGTTTTGTTGTGAGATATATATATATATATATATATATATATATATATATATATATGGAGAAATATAGTTTTATGTTGTGTTATATTTATGGGATAAAGTGGTAAATATCCGAAATAGAGCGTAAGGAAACATCATAAATATGAAAGTGAACATTGAAGTCAACACTCAGAGGTGACAGGCTGTTTCAAATCATTTATTATAAATAATCGAGGAAAAATCCAACATTCGCGGCCTGACGATTGCGCCTATCACGAAACAGACTGTCGGCTCTGAGTGTTGATTTCAATGTTCATTTTTATATTTATGCTTATACATACATACATATATATATATATATATATATATATATATATATATATATATATATTAAGGCAGTCAGTGTTTAAACGTGATGTGACCGTAAGACTTAAACATTTGTCCCGCCATTGAGAAATTATATCCCATAGGAATCATAAAAAAATCTCAATGTGAAAAGACAAATAACGTTTTTTTCTGTAATATTTGTCGGAGTTGGGTTGGGGGTGTTCGATCAGTTCAGGTGACCTGTCTTTTGCCCCTCATACAGTAATGCTATCTGCATGTAGATTGTCACCGCTTGGTTGTCACCACTCGCGATTTGTCACGTGCCATGCAGGTTGTTAGAAAATTTGTTCTGTAAAACGGGAAGATAATTGACTTCTGTATCCCCCCTGCAAGATGCTCCCCGTCTGTAAGTCACGCGGACGCAATTGGCTGTTTAAAACGAAGATATTAGCTTATGATCTTATGAACGATCAATGAATGGCAAATATAATGTTGAATTTTCCGAGCCTACTTCTGATTTCAGATATCCTGCATCACTTCTTAAGGGAAGATGTTAATTACAACCACGCCAGGAAAGCAGATGTGGAAGTCCTGATATATAATCTTATTAGCGATAATTTTAACTTCCACCTCCTGTTATTAATATTCAAAACATCCATTCCGTGGGTTCAATATAGGCTTTCCCGTTTTAATGAGGCTATTACATCTAGTGAGCTTAACATAAAAGCATCGATCAAACTGGAGTGAGAAAGACATTCATATTTTTAATAATGAGATTCATTGTTTTTCATCGGCGTTCTAAAATCCTTGCAGCCATCAACAGAAGGTGCCAATTTCGAGCCAGCTGATAAAGAAAACTGTTTGTGATGTTAAAATAGGGATACCAATATCTATAGTTGAAAATGATATATCTTTTTTTTTGTTTTTTCGAAGAACACCTACTTTAGTCGTGTACTTGATAGATATTACGCGCCTAACAAATACATCAAATGTGAATTGATATGATAGATGAAACGAAAATACCTGTTTGATAACAGTGTTGGAATTAAAGATGTATACAATTGTAAATAATCCTTCTTTTTGCAGTTTATTCCATCATCATCATCATCATCATCATATTATTATTATTATTATTATTATTATTATTATTATTATTATCCTTCTTCTTCTTCTTCTTCTTCTTCTTATTATTATTATTATTAATATTATTATTATTATTTACTTTGATTTCTGGTGTATACTCATTTCTTTCCGGGTCCCAACCAGAGATGTATTATCAGAAATGGCACCGTGACATTTTCCACCGAAAATTTCTATGAAAAAAAAAAAAGCAATAAAAAAGATCATACAAATAGATAAATCCCTTCGTAAGGTGTGTGGGCTGTGTACTTGTGAGTACAATATTTTGTATCTCTTTAAGGCATGAGCTATCAGGAATCGCTTCATTGAGTTGGTCGGAACATTTTCCAATCCATCCAAGGGCTCCAACTTCAATGGAAATTGTTGATGTCTCCATGTTCCACATTCTTGAGATTTCGATTTCAAGGTCCTTGTATTTTGATAGTTTTTTGAAGATGTACAAAGACGCCTTACAATCAGCAGAGACAGCCAAGTCAATAATAAATGATTTTTCTATTTTCGCGGTCTCTGTTCACGATGTTTGGTCTATAAGTTTTGATTTTTCTGTCTGTGTGTGTTGCAATTAT